CAGAGCAGAGTGTGTTTTACATTCAACATTTTATGTACATTTAATTTCATTCCCTATTTACCATTCCCAGCCCTAATCCAGTCTCCTCCCCTCCCTGCCCAGTAACTCCCCCTGCCCGCCGTACCCCTCATAGTTATGCACTCCTGTGTGTCCTGCATTTCCTCCACACAAATGTTGCCCCTCTGATGCCCCATGGTCAACTGCTCCAAGGGATGCATTTCCATAGAGTATGTGGGTGCATCACCTTGGGTTGAGTGGTCTGTGTGTACATCTTGTTTACTACTGGCTGAGAGCCAGCCCCTGGGAGTGAGTTTTATTCCATGCTCAAAATGTATCCCACGGTCATAGTACTGAGGGTTTCACCAGACTCCATCTGACCAGAATTTCTGGCCATTATTGTGGTTTTGGATTTTGTTCCATGTTTTTCCTCCCACTCTATCCAGGATCTCCAATTTTGATCCTTTTCTGAGTGGTTGGCATTGGTAGCCATCTAGTTCTTCTGGTCTCGAGGTCCATCAAGTCCTAGGGCTGATTGCTTCCAAATATCCTTCAAGAAGACATTTTCAACAGCCTCTACCCATCTCAATCTTCATGAATCCTTTGGACATCCAAATGCCACCAGAGGAGAACAACAGCTTCTCTCCTGTCCCCAACCCTGGCCTCTCTGCTTCCTAGACAAGGGTTCTTTCATATCTCTGCCTTAAGGATCTTTTAGTAGTGAAAATGGCCTTAGAGCAAATTAGCTTCCCATTGGGGCACTGCTTCCCGTAATAGAGTGAAATATCTTGTTGCATCTCGCAGAAGTACAGGGCAGGGCAAACCACTGCTGCAGGAACAATGCTCTCTCCTGGCTCGGTCTCCTCCACAGGTCCTGCTCTACTGACCACAAAGGCTCCCAGGGAAGCTGAAATAAACAATGAGCAGCAGCTCCTGCACTCTTACTTTGCTCCTCACATGGAACAGCCAATTCTCCAGAAGGGAGACCATTTTCTCTAGTGATACTGCCAAGATGTTTTCTGTTTTCAGTGGTGTCCTGAACCTTCCCTGAAGGACAGACCCTGAGCTGGCTGACCTTAACCAGATTCAAGATCCCACCCAGCAACAGAGAAAGACCCTTCCTACAAAGATCTCACCAAGGATGGAGAATTGTCTCCAAGGACAGATGGAACTGCTCAGAACTTGAGGTCAAAGAAAGGGGCAGTTTCCAATGTCTAACCTATAGCCCACGTTCCAGAAATCCCTGGAACCAAATAAAGGAGAAGAGATGTAGTCCGGAATTTTGAGAATACTTCTAGGAAGATAGTAGAGTAAGTCAAAGTGACAAGACTGGTCTCCCAAGTTCCCATTTAAAAAATCTATGAATATTCTGAAGGAGCTCTGGTAGCATAGTGCCTAAGGCACTTGACTGCTAACCAGGAGGCTGGCGGTTCAAACCCACCAGCCACTCCTCGGAAGGAAGGTTGGGTGATCCTACTTCCATAGTGATACTGCCTCGGAAACCCAAGGAGGGGTCACCAGGAGTCGGGGCCGACTTGATGGCAAATAACAACAACAACAATAACATGGATATTCTGAAATATATTCTGAAGAAATATAATGAAAACCAAGCATTTTCCAGATTCCGGTAGGAAAGTATCCACAGGTTATCAACCCATCTTTCCCTGGAGCACTGACTCTTGGCTCACAGTGCTTCTTTTTCCCAAACTGATGACATGGTCCATTCCCCTATCAGTTCCTCCAAGGTCTGTGAATTCTAATCCCACTCCATGTTGGAGGCACAAACCACCCTGCAGCCAGCTCTGTCACATTCTAGTGTGGAGTGCTTTCTTACCTGTGTGCTGCAGTAGATGAGCCACTGTTCTAACCATTGTATAAATAATCAGATCAGCTATTCCATCTGCAGGAGGCTTTTCACCTCTACCTGAACCTACATGAGTTTCTTTGAAAGTCTACAGAATCTGAAGGGAACTATGTACCCACAAAGGTAACTAATGTGGGAGAGGTAGTATAGCACTTGGGATTTTCCTAATACAGTACACGTCAACATCCATAAAAAGGAATTTACAAGGAACTGAGTAAGGGAGGGAGGAAAATCAAGAGTACAAAAGACATTTAGAAAATACTAAAAATTGAAATGCCACTTACTAAAACCTAGGGGACAGAGCCAAATTGTACTCATAAATAGTCTCTCTATAAATATTTTCACTATCTGCAAAAGAAGGAAAATGAATGAGTGAAACACTCAAATCCAGATTCTAGAAAACTTTAAGTCCTAATGAAAGTAAGATGAAGAGCATAAAAGAAGTTAGAAGGGAAAATAAATTGTACTTTAAAATAGGATTGAAGAGATTATTTTAGAAAACATAAACATCATCAAACCCCTAGCAAGTCTAGACACACACAAAAAGAGAAAACATGAACAAAATTATAAATGAGAAAGAAGATATAGCAAACTATTCACAGGAATTTTGGAAATAACAAAAGATCAATTATCAAGAGAAAAAATGAAAACTAATCCCTCCACACTCCACACTCCACACTCCACTCACTATCTAATTTCTTATAGTTCACCCTGAAAAAAGAAGACTTGCAGATATAAATGGGCAATTTTTTTTTCTCTCTCTCTCTTTGCTCTCTCTTTTTCTCTTCTCTCTTTTTCTCCCTGTTTTTCTCTCTCCCATTGAACGTTTAAGGAATGTCTCATTCCCATGTTATATGGAAAAAAAAAAAGCATCCACTTCGTCGAGGGAGAGAAAACAAATGCTGACAACAAATTTTATCAAGCACATCACAATAACACTATCAATAGTTTCATATAATAATTGTTATTGTTGTTGTTATATGCCGACGAGTCGGACCCAACTCATAGCGGCCCCTCCTTGGCTTTTTGAAGCAGTATCACTACGGAAGTAGATTGCCCCATCTTCCTTCCCAGGAGCGGCTGGTGGGTTTGAACCGCCAGCCTTCTGATTAGCAGTCAAGTGCCTTACGCACTACGCTACCAGAGCTCTCATATAATAATTAGAAGACATAATGTAAGAAAAGACCACATTTAAAATAGCAACAAAAAGAGTAAAATCTACAGGCATAAATTTAACAAGAAATATGGAAGACATATAAAGAAAACTTTGAAGCAATTCTGAAAGATACAAAAGAAAATTTTAACAAATGAAAGACCTATCATGTTCTCTAAGAGTTCCAAACTCATAGAGTCAATTATCTCTTAGTTAATCCATAACTTTTATCATTTCAATAAAAGTAACCAAGCGGACTATAAAGTTCATGGAAATATAAACCATCAAAAAGAGCCATTAAAATTCTCAAAAGAAATAGCAAGGAGGGATTTCTAGCATTTCTACGTATTACAACATCAGAAACCTTATGAAGAGTGTGTTTCTGGTATATGAAAATATGGACCAATGGAACAAAGAGAAGTCCAGAAATAAACCCAAATAGGTAACATCTTCAATTAGTGGTGAAAAGATGAACTATTTAATAAATGTTATTGGCACAAATGGAGATGAAAAAATAAAGTTAGATCAATTTATCACATCCTACATTTTGATAAACTCAAAATTAATCAGACTTAAACTTCAAAAAGAAGCTAGAAAATCACTAGAAGAAAGCACGGGGATTTTTTTTTTTTTTTTAACTAACTATTAAATTCTAGGGAACTCTGGTGGGGTAGTACCTAAGGCACTTGACTGCTAACCAGAAGGCTGGTGGTTCAAACCCACCAGCCACTCCTCGGAAGGAAGGTTGGGCAACCTACTTCCGTAGTGATACTGCCTCAGAAACCCAAGGAGGTGTCACTATGAGTCAGGGCTGACTCAATAGCACATAACAACAACAACAACATTAAATTCTAGGAAAGGCAAAACTGATCTAAAGTGACAAAAAGCTGATCAGTATTTATGAAGGGTAGGGATTGGGGGCAAAGGATTGTCTACAACAAGGGACAATGGAACTTTCTGGGGTGTTTGAAATGTTCTATATGTTGACTGTGGGCGTTTCTATCACATAAACTTCAATAGATGGCCTCTTGTTATTTATTCACTTTATTATTCAATAGATTCCTGAAATATTAAAGCAATAAATAGGCTAAATTAGAAAAATTATGACAACATAAAAGGGAATATATATAAAAAAATAGAAGTGGTAAGCTTAAAAAATTAACTTGTACATATTAAAAGCCAATTTAAAATGACAGCCTAAAAGTTAATGTTTTAAATATACAAAGAACTCACCAACTGATCAGGAAAGAAAAACAGTAAGGCTGATAAAGGGGCAAAGATGTGTATACATAATTAACAAATGATAAGCATCAAAAATATCCAACTCACTTAGAAATGAAGGAAATGCAAATATTTTAAGCCAGTAACTTAGTGAAGAAAAAAAAAATAATGGTGGCAAGATTGTGATATGACTGGTTATTAGAATATACTGCTGACAGAAGAGTAAATTGGTACAGATTTTTTGAAAAATAATTTTTCAATATATGTGTCTTAAAAGCATCAAAATGTTTATCCTTTTTGACCTAGCAAACCCATTCCTAAGACTCTTTCCTAATAAAATAATATTTTAAAAAATATAGTTTTATGCAAAAAGAGGCTTATTGCAATGCTATTTATAATTGTAAAACACCAATGTAAATTATGGTTTATTCACCTAAGAAAATATATAGTCATCAAAATGAATTCCTATAAAGCCTATGTAAGCACAAAGAAAATCACTTAAAAGGTAGACATAATATGGTATATGTATATTACAAATGTAATTCTAAGAGGCCTTTAAAGATTGTAAAAAATATACACAAAAATAAAACTGGTTGTGCCAGCATTTGTGTTGGGGAATTGGGCTTATGAGTGACTTTTCTTTCTCATTATATCTAAATTTTTTAATGTAATGTTAATTCTTCAGGTATATTTATTTGAAATGTAGGTCAGGTGAGTCAAAAAATAAAAAAAAAGAAAGAAAGAAAAGAAAAGAAAAACACTTACTCAGCAGTGTTAGCATCTGTATTATTGCTGTCCTTACCAGAGGCGGTGGCCATGAAAACACAGTTGACAGTAACTGTGCAGATGATAAACATGCTAAACAATGTGACTGGTGTCCGTTAAGGCAGATACACTGCAGGATGGCAAGTGTCATTAGTGACTATAATGGAGACCATGTATGTCCTCCCAGGTCCCTGTCTCATAGCTGCATCACCCCCTAACTGGGTATGATGGTTGAGAACATCTCCAACAGTTCCTTCTTTGGAGAACTGTTCTCAGCTGAATGGGAACCACTTCACCCAGAGAGCTAGACACCCCCGTCCATATGTCTGACTGACTTAGACTTATGAAAAACTGGCTCCTTATGCCAAGCATACTTCTGAGACAACTCTGTGGTACAATTCATGCCCCAGAGCTCCTTGGGGATCAGGCTGCAGCATATTCCAGCTATCTTTGCGTGGTTCCTACTTTTGTCCTTGCTTTCCTCTAGTTCCTTCTCCAAAGAGCATTTCCCCACTACATAACATGAATGAAAATCTCCATCTCAGGCTCTGCTTCTAGGGAACCCAACCTACATATCTATTCATGACCACTCTCCTCAATATTTCATTATCTCTACCAATCTATATATTTTTAACTTCCCATGTCTAAAACTGCCTAGTCCCCAACCCCTTGTACACATCAGAAATGCTTAACAATTCCTACCTGTCTTTATCTTTTAAGACTGAAGTTGCAAACTCCAATGTCTTCAAGAATCTGGCAAGTAATATAAATGGGTGAAATGGACTGACATTGAGCAACAGAGAGTGATAGAGACATGGTGAAACAGAGCTTGCATGACCCCATTGAAGGAGGCAGTGGTTTCTCAATACACACACTTGCCATAAAGGAATGCAAGCCTAGGCTTGTCAGAGGTTCCTTTTTTTTTTTTTTTTCTTTTTCAAGAAAAGCTAGAAATCTGGACTTTTATCAGTTGGAAACTATTTTCAAAAAGTGTTTTAAAGATGTATAGGTCCAATACAATGTATCTACCAGCCAAATATGATTCACTGGCTACCAGTTTACAACCTGTGTTTGTGCCTAAACTTAGATGTCTCTTTCTCCAAGAAGAGTGTGTGGGTGGTGCAGTTAACCCACACTTAGCTGTTAACCTAAAGGTTGGCAATTCGAGTCCACCCAGAGGAACATCAAAAGAAAGGTGATCTAATTCCTAAAAATCAGCATTGAAAATCCTTTGGAGCACAGTTCAACTCTGCCACACATTGGGTCACCATGAATCAGAATTGACTTGATGGCAACTGTTTGGTTTCTCCAAGAAGCCAAACTTGATGCCTTCAAAGTACAGTCGTACCTCTCCACTTTATCAATCTCACTAGCAAAACTGCCTATATTTTGATCTGTCTCTTTATGAATCCATAGGATCCAAGAGCTGGGGCTATACATTATTCATTCATACTTGTATCCCCAGTACCTAGCACAGAGCCTGACATGAAGCAGTGGACACACAATCAGTGTTTGTTGAAAGAATAAGCTTTTGGTTTCATTCAGTAAACATGCTAACACCTACTAGTCTCCTCTTTTGAGAGGAGTTGGACCTGCTTTCAGGGATAACAGCAGGTGGTGAAGGAGACAGACATGTAAAAAATTTTAAAAAGGACAATTGTAATACACATATTGCATTGCCTCGTGGCAACCACGGAGGCAGGGAGGTGGGCGAGGCATGGAGAAGAGCATAAAGACAGTGATCTTGAGATGGAAGGGGAGCATGGAAGAATGAATAGTGGGTTCCCACGCATACAGGAACATGGGGCAAAAGAAGGTGGCAGGAGCATTCCAGACAGAGGAAACAAATGAACAATGACACAGAGGTACAAGAGATCACTCAATTGGAGAATCATAAACAACTCAGTATTCCTGGAGTGTAAAGTGAGAGAAAAGGGTCTAGAGAAGGAGTGGGCAGGCAACAGATTGATCATCCATTTATTCATTCATTCCACACATTCAACAAGTACTGATTGGACATAATCATAGAAAGGCCCAGTGCATAGTCCTTACCCTCAAACAGTTTTGGTGGGGGAAAGGGAGACATACGGACTACTGCAAGGCTGGATGGGAAGAGAAGAACTGGCAGTAAAGGCAGGAGGCTCTGGGAGCTCATGGGAATGCAGAACACTCAGCTATAACCTAGCGTAGGGCAGCCCAGGCTGGGGTCACAGCCAAGAACAGGGCAGTGCCCAGACTCCAAATCAAACCTCATCGGAAGCTTTTTTATTAGTTAATAACATCTCTATAAAATAAAGCTGTTTCTTTGTGCCAGCTTGGTGGTAACTCTCTCATTTGGGCCATGAATTTCCTAGACCAACTATCAGGGTCCTGTGCTATGCTCAAAGGGGGTTCAGATCCTTTAAAGGAAGAAACTCAAAAGAGAGAGAGAGACTGTTGTTTTTGTCATACAACTCGACCCATGGAGTTTCTTGGTGGTGCAGACCCTGCTGTAAAAGCAGGTCAAAGGATGCAAATTGGATTTTGCAAGATGATACCAGAGTTCTTGGATAAATGAGACAACTCCCCACCTGGTAAGAGCGCAGGGCTCACTGTAATTAGGCACTCCTTCAATTCTGAACTTCTGTCCCAGGGTAGACCTATCTGCTCTCCAAGAATGACGTCAGAAGCAGCAGCATCCAGAACTCCCCATTGCCCTGAGATGTCCTCAGCCTGAGAGCCCAGGCAAGCCCACACCTGTGGCACTGAGTGTCTGACTACCTTCCCCATCATTTCTTTGCCCTCTGGCTAGCAGATCTGAGCCTCTTCCCCAGCTCTGCAGATTCCCTCTCCTCCAGGTCCAGGACCCTGCTCATCAGCCTGGCTGAGTTCTGTGACAAAGCACTTGGCCACTCCTGCCTCCCCCCGGGGGCTTATGCACTGTTCATGTGGTCTCAACTTAGTAAAAGGATATGAGTGGACCGACAGTCTTATGGCTAAACTTCTGATCGAATTGAAAGGTCCAAAAATGAATAAGGCACGCTTGGCACTGAAGCGGTAGATGGTTTTCTTTTTGTTCAACACCATGAACGTCTGAAAAAAAATACACAAACATAAGAGAAATTACATTCAATGACAAAACACTATCATGAGTACATTTAGAGAAAACTCAGTGAACATGAACTGAGGTGTGGCTTGGCTTATAACTACAGTTTCTTCTTGGAGAGCTGTTATTCTGAAGCTTGGGTTACTTTCTGATCATCCCATGCTGTTCCTTTGGAGGCCAATCAATCTCCCATGAAGTTGATTCACTCAGGGTCCCAAGATAAATGTTGATCTGTGGACTCTTCACCCCATGGGATGTTCTGGAGGCACTAGAGATGGAGAGCATGGGTCCCTGCAAACACATTAAGCAAACCCTTAACTTTGCTCTGCATCCTTCACGGTATATATCTGTGGAGACAAGGACTAGAAGAGAATTTTAAAATATGGAGGTAGGATTGAACATTCACATTCAGCAGATTATTTTAAATAATTTTTATTACAATGAAATCTTAGTAATGAATCTTAGCATAGTCAAGGCCCACAGAATCCATATTGTTACACCTCAGGTCTGAGCAGGTCCACATAGGAAGAGTCTGCCAGTAGATTCTAACCTTGAGAATCTTCAAGGAAGATACACCACCAAGGTTCCCAGAGTTGCTACCCTGTTCTCCCCATGAACATAGGGGCAACTCTGCCCAGCGGTTCCCATCTAGTGGAGAAGAGAGATACTGCCCTACAGAAGGCGTTTGGAAATGGGTATGGGTGTTTTTGTTTGTCACAATGACTAAGGACTCTATTGGTTTTTAGTGGGTAGGTCCAGGGATACCAAACACAAGACAGATCTACAAAATGATTCACTGTCCCACCCAAAGTGCCCAGCTGTGCTCCACTGAGGAGCCTGAACCTGTGCTTGTTTCCTCCTAGTATGTCTTCCTGGTTTCTGAGAATGAAGCATCTCCCAGACAACAACCCACTACTCACAGGCTTCTAACATAGGCCTTCCTCTTTCCATTAAACTCTAAGCTGGTCCCCTTATCTGTCCCCTGGACTGTCAGTTACAAAAGCCTTCACAGATGGAGGGTCATTCTTCAATCTCCCATCTCACACTACTTTCAGATTCGCAAGAAGTGCTGCTTGACCATGTAATCCAGCATGTTCTTAGAAAGAAAAGACAGGCCTTATCACCCAGGACTGGAGACAGCAGAGTAGGCACTGCCTTAGTTGAGACACCAGACTCTCAGCCACTGCCAACCAGTGGCTGGAGTGAGTTGCTAAACCAACTATCTGGTGGCCAAGTGACTGAAGAGAAAAGTGTGGACTAGGATATCTTCCTTTTTTTCCCAACAAAATGAAATGGGCCTTAAATTCTTTAAAAGCTAGAGTCTGAGAGCCCAAGACCCACTTTGTGGATTCTGTGCCCTTCCTTTGGGAAGGAACAATTTTAGGGTAGAGAACAAACATACCAGATTAATAGGTGGCATGATCTGGCTCTACTTCTGTGCCCTTAGATTTTGATATTTTATTAATGTCTCTTCTGATTGCTTTAAATATTTTAACTAATGGCGTATTTAACTACACTTGCCAGGGCTTTAATGATTGAAATGATAGTAGCAGCTCAGACTGCCTGCTTGCTGACACATCTTCATTCCTTCTCCCTGTATCTATCTCTAAAATGGCAGCTTATAAAAAAAAAGGGGGAGTGGCCTGTCACTGTGACTGTGGAAAGAGCCCTTGAGTTTGAGACCCAGCTCCACCATTGGCTGGCACAGCCACTTTTCCGGTTCAGCTTGTTTCCTCATCTGTAAAGCAGAGTATTAGTGACAATCACACACATACCACATGACTACTGAGAACACCAGCCAGGTGAGATCATGGGTGTGGAAGCTCAAAACCATTATCATGTTTTCTGACTTAAAAGGAGGGCCCAGGCTGAGCAGAGATGGTCTTAGAAAGAACATCCACCCAGGCTGTGCTGTTAGGACCAACTGCAGCACATCAAGCTGCTGCTTGACTCAGTAAGTATCCCAGTCTACCTTGAGGCAGAGTTAAGCTTCCAGCAGTTAACTCACCTCCAACAACCATACCTCCAAGAAGCCCCTGGAGTTCTGGGGCATAAGGAGAAGGAAAAATACTGGAATATTTCTGTTCCCTCATCTCTTTTCCCTGTATTTGTCCTTCCCAAGTATATCCTGTTGTTGTTGTTGTTGTTATATCCTACTTTCCTCTATAAACAGGGTTCCCATTTGGACCGTTTTCCCTAAATCTGTCCCAATTTAGGGAATTCTGGTGGCATAGTACCTAAGGCACTTGACTGCTAACCAAAAGGCTGGCTGTTCAAACCCACCAGCCACTCCTCAGAAGGAAGATTTGGTGATCTACTTCCGTAGTAATACTGCCTTGGAAACCCAAGGGGGGCTTGCTATGAGTTGGGGATGACTTGACGGCACATAACAACAACAACAACAACAACAACAATCCCAATTTAAGAACATGCAAGCCAGACAATCTTTCTCTGAGAGGTCAGTTTTTTGTGGGCACCAGGAAAGAATGCTCTTAGCATCTCATACTTTTTAAGACCTCCCACACGCCTCCCAGCTTTTTCCCTCCTTGACCTGATAATGACAGCAAGGTCTTCTGAGATAGGCTAGTCTGCAGAGGACTGTCTGCACAGCTCTAGGCTTTCAAGCAGCCACCAGAGGAGCCCAGAGCTTGTACTTTCTCACTCAGTGGCCCCTTTAAGAAACTTTTACTAAGATTTTCTTATAAAAATTATATTCAGGTAGCTATAAGAGCAAGCCCCAGGGGATTTATATATAATCTGCATGTGCCCACCTAGCTACCATTTTAATAGTCTTCGTTTATTGATTGAGCTCTTGCTATATGTTAAGTGTTGGTCTATGACTTTGACTTTCATTATCTCATTTGGTAGCCTAGAGAGGCTAGCGTCCAAGAATTTTTCAAGGTAAAATCTTGTTGCTGAAATAAGCATGCCTAGACAGTGACATTAATCCTGTACACTGGTATAGTGTTTTAAAACTTATAGTTTCCTATGCTATACAGAAAACAAGTATTATTCCCATTTTACAGATAAAGAAGGTGAAGATTAATGAAGTAACTTACCCGAAGTCATAAGGTCAACCACCTGAAATGGTCTACACCCCAACTTTTCTAACTTTAGTCCAGTTCTCTTTCCAAACATCATTTTGTGTTTCCTCTTTTTGCTTTCTACACTTTCTGCTGCTCTTACTCCTCATCTCCTTCCCCAAGATATGCATTACAGAGAGAAAAAATAGTGGCTGAAAACTGAAAAGGACTGTGAAGGCAGATAGGGTATGATAGCAAAGAAGAAGAAGGGAGTGATATTTGGAGAACCTTGTAACGTTAATTACAACTAGATGGTCAGAGCACCACAGCCTTCCCACAGGAGTACCTTATGATTTCTGTAGTAGGGATCCAAGTCTTCCAGGGGCTTCGCTATGAGCTCATGGGGAATGTCACCATAGAGCTTGGGCAACTTCCTGGAGACCTTTAGGTCAAGCTGAGGTCGAAGCTCGGGTTCCATGGCTGTTTTATCTTTAGACTTCTTTTTTTCCTTTTGGATAGCAATTCGCTTATTGATTGCTGCCAGAGAGTCAGGGGTGAAGGGGCGGAAATTCCGCACATCTGGGAAGATCACCGAGTAGAACTTGTCGTCCATCTTCAACTTCAGGACAGAAACAGACAGCAGCTCCTGGAGGTAGAAATAATATAGTCTTCCCGGGGACCATCAAAAGAAGGCGCCATAGGAGTCTACGAGAGTCAAAAGGGGGCTTGGAAGCTCACTAGGTGAGGGGCAAGTCAGAGGTGAACACCATTGTGGAGACAGCAAGAACTTTGGGTATAGTCAAGACAAAAGCAGGGCATTATTCCTAGGGGACATGGGAATAAGTGGGAAGTTGAGTTAAGGAACAAGTTGGCATGGGAAGCCCTCTCTCTAAATCTGACACCCAGGTAGCAACCAAGACAATAAGGCTGAATCAGCTAAACTACTGAAGTAGAGCTTGCAGATAGCAGACAAGTGGCCACAGTGTGAACAGGAGGGGAAAGAATAGGGAATTGAGTGGCCAGAGCAGTGGGTTGCAGAATCTAGACAATAAATGTGTGAATCTTTGTCAAGGCAGGGTTCACATTCACCAGCAGAAGATCACACACATGCTCTAACAGTGCATGGGAAACACTTCACTCACACAGAGAAGAGACAGAGCACAATCAGCTTCACTGGTAGGCACTAGTCTCCCGTGGCCAATAGGCTCATCCTACATATGGCCTGTGCAGGGCAGACCTTCTATGTTCACTCTTCTTATGCCATAATATAGATCCTGTCAGCTTCTCACCAGGAAAAGACATAGAAGTAGGCTTGGCCAGGTGCCATATGGTACCTATGCATGTGCTAGAGATAGAGAAAGTTACTGTGTGCCCAGAACAGGGGAAAGGGTCTCTGATAAAGAGAAGTAACTGAGAGAGAAAGAATGACTCAATTCCCAGTCTCCTCATCAGAGAATGTTCTGGGTTTAAAGCCCTTACTTAGGCAGCCTAGAATGGGAGGCATAGAGGCAGGCCATTCTCCCAATCATCTTTTCTCACATATGGTCAGCAAAATTCTTAAAATATATTGGAATCAAAACAAAAGAGCCATAAATACAAGCACAGAAATTTATACTACCACCTATGATCTCATGTCAACCCTCTGATTTCTGGAATGCAAATGTGGCAGAAGTGAAACTTCAAGAAAGCAGAAAGGATTTGCCAAAGCTTGTAGGGTCACTCTCCTATGGGATAATAACTCTCTTGGCCTCTGTCCCTGAAAGCCCCTTCTGCAAGGACTATCTCAACAGTCCCAGAGTTAAAGCTAACCAATTGCCATCAAGTCAACTCTGACTCATGATAAGCCCATGTGGATCACAGTATAACTGTGCTCCTTAGGGTTTTCAATGACTGAGTTTTTGGAAGTAGATTGCCAACTATTCCTTCGGAGGTGCCTCTGGTTGGACTCAAACCTCCATCTTTTCAGTTAACAAACAAACGTGTTAACTGTTTGTACCACCCAGGAGCTAGAGGTATTTCTTCACTCAGACAGCAGCTGGCTGCTGAGGCTGAGAAGCCCCAGGTTGACAAGGAAAAAGGCACAGTCCCGATATTATCAAACCATACGGCAGGCCATTAACTTAAGTCCAGTCTAAGTCCCAAAGTCGGCACAGCATAGCAGACTGCTGAGCAACAACACAGCTACATGCAGGGTCCAAGCATGCCATAGGCTAGAGACCATTCTCAAAGCTTCTCCTTATATACAGGAAGCAGACCACATACCCAAAGGCAGCTACTCAGCTGCTCACAGTAGATTCTACCATAGAGTTGATTACCAGTCTCATCATGGGGAATACTACATCCAGCTGCCCAGCCACTCAACCAGGCCCAGCCAAGTTGACACACAAACATAACCACCATATTTATTATCATTGTTATAATCATTGTAGGGGAGTAACCCTATCAGGGTTTCCCCCCCACACCCCCAAAGATTCTTCTGACTTTGGTAAGAATGGATAGGCTTAGGGCAAGGGAGTGAAGGAGGTGGGGAGATTAGAAAGGAAAGATGAGATTGGAAACTATTGCAGCAAATCAAACCACTGACATGACCTAGTGGAGTGGATGGAGCAAGTGGATGGCTATGTGAACTACTTAACAAATAACCTTGACAAGTAATTAATTGCAAGGAAGGTATTTGAGGGACAGTGCAGAGACAAGGTTTCTGGCTTGGGCAGTGGGGTCAACAGAGGTGACACTCACTGAGTTAGAGAATACTAGAGAAGCTTTGCAGCGAGAAATTTAAGATGCTAGAGTTCAAGCTCCTTGTGGAACCTGCCAATGAAGAGAACCAGGAGGAACTTGAACATAGGGAAATTCCAATTTACACACATTTAGCTCTGAAAAACAGTACGTACAAAAAATATATATATAGTTAAAACTTCTCTTAACAATCCCTCAGAAGGCATCATCTGGAGACTAGTATCCCCAATCATTGCTCAACCAGTTGAATACAGGGAGCTTTTCTTTTAGTTCCAGAAGAGTGCCAGAAATCTTTCTTCTGTTAAGCCTCAAACAAAGCACTCAGATTGCATCTAAGGGCCACAAGAAAGGCAACATGTGCATCTACAAACTTGCACAGTGTGATACAATGCCTGTACCATAACACCCATGTTGTTGTTAATTGCCTTTGAGTTGACTATGACACATGGAGACTATATTACAGAGGAGAACTATGCCATAGGGTTTTCTTGGCTGTAATATTAATGAAAGCAGATTGCCAGGCTTTTGTTCTGAGGTGCCACTGCATGGGTTTGACCCTCAGCATTCTGGTTAGCAACCAAGAGCAAACCATTTATGCAGACGACATAACTTTGCCTGCTGAAAGTGAAGATGACTTGAAGCACTTACTGATGAAGATTAAAGACATCTGCAAAATGGATTACACCTCATCAAAAAGAAAAGGAAAATCCTCACAACTGGACCGATAAGCAGCATCATGATGAATGGAGAAAGGATTGAAGTTGTCAAAGATTTCATATTACTTGGTTCCACAATCAACACCACTGGAAGCAGCAGTCAAGACATCAGATGACATATTGCACTGGGCAAATGTGCTGCAAAAGACCTCTTCAAAGTGGTGAAGAGCAAAGATGTCTCTTTGAAGACTAAAGTGTGCCTAACCCGAGCCATGGTATTTTCAATCACCTCATATGCCTGTGAAAGCCAGACAACGAATAAGGAAGACCGAAGAAGAGTTGATGCTTTTGAGTTGTGGTATTGGTGAAGAATACTGAAAGTACCATGGACTACCAGAAGAACTAACAAATCTGTCCTAGAAGAAGTACAGCCAGGATGCTCCTTGGAAGCAAGAATGGCTAGACTTCATCACACCTACTTTGGTCATATTGTCAGAAGGGACCATTCCCTGGAGAAGGATATCATGCTTGGTAAAGTGGAGGGTCAGTGAAAAAGGGGAAGGTCCTCAATGAGATGGATTGACACAGTGGCTGCAATGATGGGCTCATGTATAGCAGGGATTGTGATGCTGGCACAGGACTAAGCAGTGTTTCTTTCTGTTGTACATGGGGTTGCCATGAATCAGAGCCAACTCGATGGCACCTAACAACAAGAACAACAAGGATCTGTGTCAACTGAAACCAAATGGAAGACCATAAATTTACTGCATTCCTTCCCACCATCATTCAGGTCAGGGTCTTTTTTTGTTTTAACTTTATTGTGGTGAAGCTATACATAACCAAACATGGTATCTCAAGAATTTCTACTTGCACAGTTCAGTAACATTAATTACATTCTTTAGATTGTGCCACCATGCCTGCTATCCTTTTTCAGGTCAGGCTCTTTATTGAAAGAACTGGATGATGGCATTGCCCAAAGTATTTAAATCATCCCTCCCTCTCACTCTCTGTCTTTCTTTCTTCTATTGCTCTTCCCTCTCTCATAAACATACACAACTAAATTTGTATTAATAAAAAGTATATGTAATGAGATTCTATTATAGATTATGAAAACCAAAAAACCAAACCCACTGCCATTGAGTCTATTTCAACTCATAGCAACCCCCATTGGATTTCTAAGGCTGTAAGTCTTTACAGAAGTAGATTTCCTCATCTTCCTTCTGCAGAGCAGCTGGTGGGTTTCAACCACTGACCTTTTGGTTAGCAGCCAAGTGCTTGAACCTCTGAATAACCAGGACTCCTTTTAGAACAGTAGCTACAAAATTATTATATTATAATGTTTTTCTATTAATTTTTAATTTTAACAGTCCTATAGGAGCTCTGAGGGAGCTCTGGTAGCATAGTGCCTAAAGCACTTAACTGCTAACCAGAAGGTTGGCGGTTCAAACCCACCAGCCACTCCTCAGAAGGAAGGCTGAGCAATCTACTTCCGTAGTGATACTGCCTCGGCAACCCAAGGGGGGTTTGCTATGAGTTGGGGCCGACTCAACAGCACATAACAACAACATAGGAGCTCTGGTAGCATAGTGCCTAAGGCACTTGACTGCTAATCAGAAGGCTGGCGGTTCAAACCCACCAGCCACTCCTTGGAAGGAAGGTTGGGCAATCTACTTCCATAGTGATACCGCTTCAGAAACCCAAGGAGGGATTGCTTTGAGTCAGGTCCTACTCAACGGCACATAATAGCAACAACATAGATGAAACAGAACACAATGCAAATGTTATAAAATTTTATTGGAAGGTGGAGTTGGCATGGGAAGGTAGCATGAACCTCAAGAGAACCAATATCCTCATCTTAAACACTGCAGAGTCAATACATTCTATACAAAGTTGATGGACCAAACAATTCAAGTGTAAGTTTAGTCTTGAAATTATACAGGTAATCAAGTAAAAAACCAAATTATAACAAACACTGGGAGAAGCTCAGAAGAGGAGAGGGGTTACTGTCAGGGAGCTAAATTCTTCCTCTCACCTAGGAATAATTCAATAACTTCTACTGCAATCCACTGCCGTCAAGTAGATTTGAACTCACAGTGACCCTATAGGACAGAATACAACTGCCCCTCTAGAGTTTCCAAGCCTGTACTCTTCATAGGAGCAGACTGCCACAACTTTCTCCAGCAGAGCAGCTGATGGATTTGAACTACCAACATTTTAG